AGAAAAATTGAGATTGAATTAAACAAAAATAATAAATATAAGAATTAAATTAAAAAATTAAAAAAATTAAAACTTAAAAAAAATCGTAAACTAGTATATTACATACATCATTAAGGTGCTATTAACTATTTAAAAATAATGATAAAAAAGACTTAATTAAACAAAATTAATAAAAATTACGACTTAATTAAATAAAAAATAAATTCACATTAAAAGAATTTGGACGACAGGATCAAACCTTTATTATAAGAATACATTATTGTTTTCTCTTCCTTTATTTTTTTCAGTTCTCATTCCCTTTTTTATTAATCTGACAAAACTTTAGAATGAAAACAATAAGCCTTCTTTCGTTTCTTTATAGATATTTCTACATTATTTCGTTTTATCTTTTTCTTTTGTATACTTTCTCTCCTTATTATCTTGCATGCAAGGAATGTTGAGGTTTCAGGAGAAAAGATCTCGGGATAAATTTAATCTTAGATAAAGGAAGTTACTTGGATTGTGTAGTTCCATTTTTATAAATACAATAATGTAATTTGAAACACAATTTTTTTATATTTTTTATTTTTGTGTTTATTTTATTTAAAAGTAATCAATGTAGTATTTTGTATAAAATTAATATTGATATTGTTTGAAACATGACTAAGTGTTAGGGTTTTTGGAGTACCATGGAAGTGCGATGAGTAAAAAGAAATTAAAGAAACCTAAATTAAAAGTGATTATTTTTCGAACGAGTTAAATTCGTTAATTTCTTTTAACTAAAAAAGAAGCTGAATTAAAAAATAAATGAAACTCGTATTAAATAAATCCTTTCAATATATAAACAAAAATTGAAGATTAAATAAGTCCATTCAATATATCAACTCTTAATATTTGTTGAACTGTAAACTTTGAAGATTAAATTTGAATTTTATGATAACTAGTTTGAACGAAAAAACCCACCAATACAATAATTAATTTGAATTTAACACCACGCTGGCCAACGTGGTGACCTTCATGGCCACACACGTGCACATCAATTACCGGTTTGTTTTCTAAATAATGCATTTTATAAAGATTAATTTTTTTCTGACTGATCATTCATCTCATTTTTATTTTTGTAATCTTAATCTTTAATTATTTTACTGTCTGATATTATCTTTTAGATTATAGTCTAGTAAGGAATATTTGTATTTGATTGGATTCTAAAACAACCATTTATTTATCATAGATGATTTGTTATCTGATATTATTTTACTATCTGATATAGCAAAAGATATACTTATATATCATAGATGATTTGTTATCTTATTTTTTTTATTGTTCAACCAATTATTATGTTTGAAGTTCACTGAGAATGAAAAAAATAATATTTGATCATTATTGTGAATATGATGTCAAAATAGTATCGATGTATTGTGTTATAAAACATTTAAATATTTTTTACATAATCCGCTCATTAAATCCTAAAATCGTCCAACAATTTTGAGGCAATATTTTAATTAATCAAGCTTTCACTAAATTTGAATAATGATTTCGTGTTCAAAATTCGTCATAAGCTCCAATATTCTCATCGTAATATTTTCTTAAATCAAACAACTGTACCGAAGCTCTTTATAAATAATTATCTTAAAAAAAAAGGTATTCATCAAATTATAAAGTCATTTGGGATACATGTTATCTTTAGGATAATTATTTCTCAAGATTGAAAAAATGTTTTTATCCTAAATTACAAATTCTCGGAACCCCTCAGTTTTTAGTACGGTAATGCACCCAATAGGCCATTAGTTATATTCCCCCTTCCTTGTTACCTTGTTGCTTGCATAATACTTCATTTTATCACCTTTTATTGTACACATAAAGGTTAAATTTCAATACCGTGGGGTCTGGGAAATACATTTTAAATTAATTTGATTTTGCATTAGTTACACATTTTAGTTTTTAACATTTCAATTTCAAAATTTTTTAAACTAATTTGCATGGAATTGTAGTGTTCAGAAAGAAAGATTTCAATAAATTTATACTAGCAGTAGCATCAACTTATGTTTTTTTTTTCTGATCTAATGATTTAAGAATTAAATTTTGGAAAGATTACTTTCGATATAAAATAAAGTACAGTGTATTTTCGGTAATGCAGTGTCGATATTATATTTGTAAAAAAAAAATCCAAAGACATTTATCCTGTATATCTTTAAATAATAGAATTGTACGAAGTGAGATATTATGGGAATTGACAATTTAGAGTCTGATATAAACTTTAATAATATTTTCTTTTACCTTGATATCCTAAGATATTACTATTTGTTTATCGATTGAATTATCTAATTTATCAGATTAAATAAAGCAATTAAATTAGTAAATAAGAATAAACGTAGCTTTTTTCTGAAAATTATTCTTAGTTATTGCTATTTAGACTAAAAGCAGTTAATATACAAACATTATAAATTGAATTTCATAAAAAAACATTAGTTTCAATTAAGTATTATAAATAGAAATGAAAACAATGGTATTTTTGAAAAACATATTCACATAAATGTATTATTAATTACTAAAAAATTTCTTACAAGACAAAAAAAAGAATAAAAAAGGCAAAAATGAATGTGAGAAAGAGAGTACAATGGTCCATCAAAGGTGAAAATTTATGGAAGTGTTTCACTTTATTTATTATTTTATTACCAAAGAGGCCTTTCACTTTATTGTGGTGAAGAGATAAAAAGAAGGATAAATGAGTATATAAAGCGGTAGATTATTACATATACAAAACACACACACACACACTGAGCAATTGACAATTGGTTGCAGAGAGTGCGGGAGGAGAGTCACAACTACCAGTCCTTGCTCTGCGTCCTGTGAATTTGGAAGAGTAAGGAAGCTACCTGGAAACTCATTCCTTACCCTGCAAAACACATTTCTTTATAACCACAAACCACTTTCTATTTTCGCCACCGTCGATCCATCACTCTCTTCCGACTAATTTTGGAAAATGAAAATGGGTAAAGGGATCATTTTTACCGTTGCAATGGTGGTCATTTGCCTTGGTGGAAAAGGGGTGGCAGGACACGAGCATCATGTGGTCGGAGCAGACCGTGGCTGGGATCCAACCTCAGACCTTGTTTCCTGGTCTTCTGGCAGGATCTTCAGGGTTGGAGACCAAATTTGTAAGTCTCGGATTCTCTCTCTTTTTCTTTACCAAATAGGTAAATCCATTATTTTGTCATGTTTTTTTTCTTCTTTATATTGTATGTTCCCTACCCATTTAGTTTCAGTGCTTTCTTGGTTGTCATGAACATGAAGAATGATGAAACGTGCCCTGTTTTTATTTTGTTTTTTACTTTTCATTACACGATCTGGATCTTGGAGTTGATTGTGATGACATTTATGTTATAGAAAAATAAGGAAAAATAAAAGAAGAGAATTGCACGTCAGCTTTCAAAGATTGCGTTTCCGTCTGTTCTGTGCGTTCGTTTAACAGGAGGAGCTGAGTGACGGCAGTTCATTCATTGCGTATCTTTTAGGTTTATTTTTAATACTGGTAGGGTCAGTAAGTGGGAGTATAGACTTAGCTCAGTGGTGTGTTTCAGCATTTTTTTTTTTGTGAAGTAAAACCTAATGGTTCTTGAAGAGATAATAAATTAAAGATAGAGATTAAGTTAAAATTGCATATATTATTATTCATGTGATTAGTTTAGTAGCATGTAAACCTTTAAGTTGAGTCTTGGGAATAGTTGGTATAGAATTTGTGGATCAATTTGTTGCTTTTATTATATATACTACATATAAAGTAGGTAGCATTTTTTCTTTTTTTAATTTAACGCGATACCTTGTTCTATTAAAAATTTATATATTAGTGATTAGTAGCATGCAAGGATGAAACGATTAATCGCACGGTGACTTCAAAGGTTAAGTGTATTATGAAAAGAAATAATAATTTTCTTTTCATCTTATCATGTAATTTTCTCTTATCTTTTATTTGTCTATTTTAGAGGAAGAAAAATGCTAACAAGAAGTTTGTATGTATTGTATTGTAGCATGCCTTGTAAAAAGAAATGTTGTTAGGTATGAGGAGACATTGAATTTGTTGTCATTATGCCGTGTTTGTCTATTTTAATATGAGTATGAAAAGGAATAACGATGTGGGGATGTGGACGTGTAAAACGAGCAGGGCTGGCATACTCAGTGGCACAGGGACTGGTGGCTGAGCTGAAAAGCAAAGAGGAATATGAGGCGTGTGATGTGAGAAATCCCATCAAAATGTACAGAGAGGGTCTGCATGCTATCCCACTTGAGAGTGAAGGAATGAGGTACTTTGTGAGCACCCAACCTCAGAACTGCAAAAATGGTCTGAAGCTCCACATTGAGGTTCTGCCACAGGGCCAAGGCATCACAGATAATAAGTATTCTACCCTATCTGATTTTCAGGCTGCTGCGCCCACTACTCCTTCTGCTTCAACCCGTTATGGTCAGAGCACTATGTTGTTGCTCACTGTTTTATTTTTCCTCATCATATACCTTGCTTATTGACTGACATCTGTCACTAGCCTATATGTAAGAACCACTGGTTTTATGTATTATTTAGATACTGTTTTGGGACTTGGGACCCTCGGATGTTATATTTCTTTTAATGCCAGTATATGTCTAGCAATCTAGTTTAAGAAAGATATTTGTTTTCTAGTCTTGTTTCATGAATTTATGTTATATGGAATCTTCTTCAAATGCGATTTTTTAGTGTCCATATTGATGAAATTGTTCTGTGTATTTTGCAATTCACGAAATGTAAAGTAATCATCAAATTTACTCAAAGATTACTATTTCTAAACAGTTCTTAAAATAATGAATTATATGAATGATATTTTCATCATTTTAGTCCCTGCAACGCAGCGATGCACTTGACTAATTTGAGATTAATTTAAAAGTATTTTCAGTACATTCGACTGTACTCAATAATTACTAATGCTTGTGAAAGTATTTAAAAAGCTACAAAAAAGGATAAAATTGACAGTTTATATAAAATAATTTGCACGTACACGAAAAATACAGATAAACGTACATAAGATTTATAAGTTGTACCATTTGCTTCTTTCTATAATGTTAATAAGAGGTAGATCCTGTTTATTCAATGCGCCAGGGTAATCTCCATATACCCTGTACTCGCATTTGTAACCCGATGAGGCGACTTTCACGATTTCAAAAACAAAAAAAAAGTCTCTTATACTCGATGGGCATTAACTTAGCAATATAATCTCGACGACGGTGCCCAAAATGTGAAGAATATACATGGAATATCATCGTATTCTCATTTTTTATGCAGCATCTTTTCCGAACCAATCATTGGGGTCTACACGTCACTTATCTCTCAGGATAACATAACTGGATCCATTTGCAGTCTTCTGTATTTTAGAGATTCTCTTCAGGATCTCAGCAAATGCTTGCTTATCCTGCATGTACCAAAGAAGCACAAGATTCAGTTTCAACCAAAGATTTAAAAATTGAACCAATGATGCTGCATGTCAAACTTAGACTAGTTTAGCCATCGATCCAAATGGATCACACGAAAATTGCAACTAAATAAAGTATACGAAAAGGTACAAATTAGTATCAGATAAGCATTCTTATCCTCACGCATTACATACTTCAGACCTCCGATCACCGCCTAGAACAAAGTTATGAATAAATCATTTTTATCATTATTTTTTTTTTTTAATTTTGAGACATTTTTTAAAGATGCTTAAAGCAATTAATACTAAAAAGAAAAATTTTAGGCCTTTTTTTTGGAGGCCCAAAACAATTAATATTAAAAAAAATTGAGACATTTTTTTCTTGAAAATCTAAAGCAATTAATACTAAAAAAAAATTGATGCCTTTTTTTCTTGGAGACATAAAAAGTGTTTTACCTGCTTGGATCCTAAATCACAATTCATTATGAAGATTATTAAAATGGCAGCTCCACAAAAATTAGATGCATTACATATTATCCAAAGTCCCGGAGCCAATTTGTAAGCATTTATTAAGAATTAGCCAGCGGCTTGGGCGAGCATGGAGAAGTGAAAAACACACTTTAATTATAAAACATGAAACGTACTGTGCACATGGCATACACAATTTGATTAAAGAACAATAAAGCAAACATGTCAAGTTCAATCGAGGATAGAGCAAATTTATCACTTACCTCTGAAGATCTCAATCTTGCCTTAAATTTAGCTACAAGATCCTGAGTGGTCACTGGAGTCTTTTGCCTTAAAACAGCCCTAATTTCTTCCTCACTCACAGGTCCAGTAGCTGTTCCGGAAGACCCAGGCTTTGATGATGACGGAGGTGTACCTTTGGGAGGTGCATTGCTTTTAGATGCAGACCCATTTACATCTTTGGTAGACGATTTTGGTTCCTAATTTAATAAAACAACAAATAATTTCAATGGTAGTTAAAGGGAAACTGTTGGATTAGCATTTAAAAATAAGTTATTTTGTAACAGAACAAAATTTACTTGATAAAAGATTCTTCTAAAATCTCATCCTATATACAAATCTACAAAAGCCATATGGTGTTTGAATCCGTCATTGAAAAATTGCTTCTAGGATAAATTAAGAGCACTTTTGTCCAAATCTTCGAAAGAAAAGTTTCCCAACAAAGCAGTATCAGCTTTTGCAAAAAAATTGGCCCTCTAAAGTAAGTCAAACACCACAGTAATTGATCGATGTTGAACTTGTAGAAGTTATCCAAGCACCTAACACTTCTATGAAAAGGTAAAGCAATAAGTGTAATCCAGTAATCTCACGAAAATCAGTGACTTACATTTTCCTGTTTCACCTTCTTTGGTGTTGCAGTATTTGCTGGTTTTACTTCTTCATTTGATTTTCTCTTTCCCTTTGAAGACTTAGAAGATGGTGTTCCACGAGCAGGTCCTGTTGCTGCTGGCTTTGAAGGGCTAATGTCAACAGGTTCTTCCTTAGGGGCATCCTTCTGCTTCGTAGCAATCACAGGAGGATTGCCAACCTCGTCATCCATCTAGGCGAAGAAATGTGACTCGTTAATCCATGAAAATGAAAGTTATCCAGGATTCCAGTGAAGTACATTGAACGAGAGAGAAATAGAAGTAAAAGATGCTGAAAACTGTGTATGGACTACACAACATTTTATGTAGGTTGATTGCAATAAATACAAATAATTCTACGAGATTTTAATCCTACATACATGATATGATATGCCTATAGATAGTATTCAAATATATATGATTCCGAAAAGATATCCCCGTAACGATAAATATTGTAATTAAACAAGAAAACAAGTCAAAATATAAAAGAAGAATACATGTTTTAAGAGTTCATTTAATATGCTCTAAAATATTCAATGATAATATTATCAAATATTTCTAACATTATAAAATGGGTTTAAGTCTAACTTAAATTCATAAAAATCAACTTGTAAAATAAGGTTTGCAGCCAATTATATACCATACTTTGACTATATTTCTAGTTAATGTGAGATTTCCTACAAAATATGAAGCAAATTACTCACTTGCCCTTGTAGAGAAGTAAAGGGTGTAAATGCTATATTTAGGCCACCACAAAAGAAATTGCAGTTTGTATCAAGTTATGTTAATCCTTTGCATCTTATTAGTGTGACAAACGGAACAATTGGCAATTAAAGAACTTCTATAAAAAGTTAAAGAAAATGGCAAACTGAAAAGATAAAAGAACAAAAGTCATACATCGTCATCGTCATCATCTTCATCCTCTGCATCAGATTCATTCAGACCACTAGCTTTCCCAAGCAGCTTCTTCAGCTCTTTCCCAGATTTACTCAGACCTCCCCCTTCTTCATTATCTTCATCCTCCTCCTCCTCATCCTGCAATTGCAATTGTAGCTATGATTTAGGAATGCCACAGTAACATAGAAACCAAATATGAAATTGTCTTTATCAACTCCAATTTATTCCATGTGTAGAACATAATATAATACATCAAGCATCCCTGTAACCAAAATGACAATACCAGAAAATGTCTGAAAGCATAGCATACTTCCATGTGAAAAGGAAACCAAGGCACTCATGCAAATGAGCAATGAGCAAGGTAAATCCATTAATAAATGCATTTTAATAAAGTATTAAGGTCTTCATCCTGGAATCACAAAACAGGTGATTCTGTGAGGGTTACTTCAGAAATTTTTTTCTTAAAAACTTATCTTTACGTAACCACTAATTCCACTACCTGGTTTTGAGCTATTCTTCCTCTCATAACAAAGATTAATTAAATATATTGAAAATATAGCATCTAAAGTGACATGAGAAAAGGGGCAGTTAACAATATCTGTTTTCTCACAATAATTTTGACCTCCATAAATACATCCATACCAAATACATCAACTATCAAATATTTGAGTTCAAACTAACCTGTTTTATTTCAGGAGGAGCAGGAACTTCAGGAGCTAACTCCTCCCTTTCCTCAGGGTCATTTCCAACAGCTTCATCGTCATCAGTGAAAATTTCTTCATGCTCCCAGTCATCACCTGTAAAAAATGTACGAGTCAAAAGCAAGAACTAGCATCTATATTCGTTGAAGTGTCCTGTGAGTTTTCAACAAAAAACAAGCTGGTTAGTCTATGCATGCATAACAAGGAAACCATCTACCGATGCTTTCAAGTTTCAGTTCATGCCAGTTTAAGATTAAATAATCAGATTGTAATCACTTGAAATGATTGAGACAACATTCAAGTAAATAGATCAATCGACTCAATAGTCAAACTAATTAATCATGCAGTAACATCAGTGCAGTGTTACTGACCTTAGAAAACAACTCATGGGTTACCCAAAGCAGTTCAGCCCGTCAATTCAATATTTGGTTTTTAAGATCAAAAATTGGGAAAAATTCGTGCACAAACATATAATTCATGAGTTCACATTTACAGTTTAGTGTGCATGCTTGACTGATCATCTTAGAAGTTTTATATGGGAAAAGTTGCAGAGCTTCTGCAACATGGAAATTGACGTTTTCTCAACAGGAGACAGACAAGTCTTGCGTGTCTACTAGTCTATTACTGGTTTTGCGCTCTGTCAAGTCCATCAACATTCAAACAAGATGTTCTCATGAACTAATATTCATAATCTTTTTTTCTGACAGCATTTTCTAATAGACTGCTAGAAAAGTCATAACGCTATAACATAAATAAACTCCACTAAACACACTGAATGCACCTGCCCTATAACATATTTTGGGATTCAAAACTCTCAATAAATCATGCACATACAGCAAATTTAGGGTAACGAGTATTGAAAAGATATATGAATTCTATAATCCTAGTTATATCCAAGGCCAAAATAAATACTTAGAAAACTTATTTATATGAAGCCTATATTTGATTCATGGAAGCATTCGGTTTCGTTTTTTACTATCTAAGCAATATGCTCCATCGTGTAAGAAGATGAACGAAGTCACAACAATGAAGCAATCAAGGTAGATACTAGAAAAGATGGACATTATATAAGAACTCCAATAAAACTGAACCAGATTTAACAGAGACATAACAGTTTCCTCACATCTCCAACATTTAATGATGCACACCCCTCTCAGCTGTTGCCTATGCAATGTCTATTCTGATTAATTATGGCATGCAATTGCATACCAGATAGGTCATCACTTCATAAAACTAATCAGAAATAAAACGACAATATACGCCACCTTTTTCATCAAAAAACATAATGAACAAAGAATGCAGAGATACTGACCCTTCTCAACGTCGTCATCATCTAGATCATGGTCCCCTCCCCTTGGACCTTCTTCATCATCATCACCAGCTCTTTTATTAAGTCCAAGTCTGCTCTTCCTGTCGGATTCCTCGTCTTCATCCTCCTCTCCCTTATCAGAAACATGACCTTCATCATCCTCACCAGTTTTTTTACGGCTTCTCCCTCCACCTGTGTTGCTTTCCTTGTCCTCAAATTTTCCATGTTCACCAAATGCAGCTGGGCCATTATTTGCTGCTTTCATCATCCATCTCTGATATCCATCTGCAGTTTTCTTTCTATTCTTCATCTTCTCTTCTGCTTCCTCCAATGTCAATTGCTTATATTGAGCAACCTTGTTAAAGTTGTACCTAAAAGAACATACAACAAATTGCATAAGAGCATTCTTCTGGCCATCAAACAGAACCCTTAACACAACAAGCGTACCAAGAACCAGCAGGAATGGCAACAAATTCCTTCCTTTCTTTCATTAGCAGGTAATATGTAGCCGATTGTGAACCTTCTAGATGACCATGGTACTGGGACTGACCTGTTTCGTCCTCCAAGAGCCAAGGCTTATTCTTGTACTTCTCCTATGTAATGCAACAAGAAAGATTTCATTTAAAAAAAAAGAACGTGATCTATTACAATTCCCAAGTAATTATTCACTTCCTTCCTTTTTGACTATTATAGATATAGGTATAGATTCGTAGAACCCTTCTCCCCGACAACCATCTATTTAGCAATTCAAGCCTTGGAACCCAAATCCATATTTTCTCCTGTATCGAATATAAACAAAAATAATTGATTCACACTACTTAAATAAAATTTTCAAGTAGCCTATAATCGTAATGATTTCATTTAAAAATAACACTTTCACAGAATACCCTCTTTTGAAACTTGATATCAGGAATGAAAGATAGTAATGGAATAAAACCTCAATTGATTGAAGAAATTTTGGAGACAATCGCATACGGTCAACTGGTTGAGATTTGCTTGCATTCGAAACTGAAGAGCTTCTAATTTTTCAGCGACCATTTATTTTTGAGAAATGAGATGCTTTAAATCACTCCTTGAACTAAATACCATGAAAGGAAGAAAATAACTATGAAGTAATGGTAGATTTCAATACCCGCAAAGAATCAGTAATTTGGCGACCGTGCAGTCCTTCCTTCTGCAGAGCCCACTTGTTCTCAGCACTTTTCTTCTTCGAAAAATCTGGTAAACCGGTCATGAACCTTCCAATAAAGTAGTTCTTGTCATTGGTAGAACTTGCACGAACATTGTATTCCTATCACAAAGAACCAGGTGAAATATTTCACCACGTCATGATCAAATGCACCGAGTAAAGTAAGGTCAGAATACGCGAATTCTATAACAGCGAAAGGGAGAACAACACGCACTCGAATCAGGCGAGTAAGGGTGACACCACAATCGACGCATTTGGAGCGATTCTCGGCCATGGTTTTGCCGCAACTCAAGCACAGAGTCATGTGCTTGCAATTGCTTCCGTAGAGATCCGTCGTTGATCCGCATCCGCTACAACTCGATTTCAATTGCAGGTCCGTCGACATTCTCCGCGCCTCAATAACAAACTCCAGTGGAAACGTTCACCGATTCCAAGAAACGCACAAATCCTAGGGTTCTTCTCCTAGGGTTCTATACTTAGGATTTCTGTTCAAAATTTCTGTCTCAGCTTCAAATGGCAGAATTCCATCGTAATTCACTCGCGCAGTATAAATCGAACGTTCGATTTTGTTTATGTTTTACTTTTTCTTTTCTTTTCCCTTTTAACCCACGGATATATATATATATATATTCCTCAAAATTTTAATATAATTTAATCCTCAAAATTTAAAACGAATAAATATCCAAATATAAATATGTGACACAACCAATGAAATTCCAACATAATCATGACTATCATAATAGTAACTTCTAATCATTTTAACACATGCAATTAATTCAAACATGTAAAAAAACATAACAACGTTTATTCTTTGAGCAAAATTAATATACAAATTATCTTAATTGCTCTTTGGTTTATTTTTGTTTGGCGAATTCGAAATCATTAAGTGAATTATCACAATCCGTTATGTGATCATGAATTAGTTAGGTGAATTAAATCTACAGATCTTCAATTTGTTTCAGTTGAAAATTTTTGAATTCATTGAGTTGCTTTTCTTTTTTGAGTTTCACTTGGCAAATCGCATATGGGAGAAATGTTGACTCTCAAATTCATATATTCATCAAGTGAATAACAATCTACTGAACAAATTAATAATTTTACAATTTTTTTCATAATTAGTTACAAATACAACTTAATATACATCAACATAAGTTTAACAAGTATAAACTAACACATATAACACACGCAATTAATGCAATGACTAATATTATTATGATTGATATTTACAACCTAAATTCAATTAAATCCAATAATTTGGTATAAAATACAATTCAACCAAAGCAAAATCCATTTAAATAACAAATTCTAACTCTTGTAGTTATTTTTAAACTTCAACATTAACATGTTATTAAAAAAAATTGGGTATGAGTTTAATTCAAAAAGGGACTATTCAACACTTAAATGTCTTTTTCAAAACCTAATTTTCAAAGTTTCTAAAATAATATGGATATACTTAATTATATAATTATAACATGTTATAAGTTTTTATAATTATAACTCTAAAACCACTTAATCATCTTAAAGTTTGTAAGACTACCAAAAACTAAGGCTATGTTTGCATGAAGGGATTTACTTGTCAAGAAGAAAGGCAAACGTATATTCAAGGATCAAATATGTTCGTTTTAATAGATAAGCGAAGAATGAATTGAGCTGATATACGAAATCCATAATTTTTTCATCACTCGTGAAACTGCTCAGATTTGGAATGATTGTGTTTAAAAAGTCACATTTGCCCTTGACACACTTTTACATTCATTTGACACAATATATAAGGGTAGAATGGTCTAAAAATTATAAAGTTTTGTATTTTTTCAAGAAAGAAGAGAGTAAAAAGTAAGTAATGATAATGTCAAATAAATGTTAAAAATTTAGATGTATCAAAAAATCATTTTCCTTTATCTTTTGGCAAAGTTTTTCTTGTTTTAGAGCTTGTAAGGATGTTCGTTGGAGATGAAGACCAAGAATGAGACTGATCTATGGTTCGTCGAGGTTGATGGCCATATTAAAGATGAAGATGAACAACAGAGTGCTTGAAAATGAAGAGGAGTGGTTAAAGATAAAAAAAACACAACTCGAAGGAATTGAGTTTTTCATATGTGTATTCGATTTCCACATGAACCATATTCGGTTTCAACACTACGAACAAATATAAAAGAACTTGTATTCGATTCTTCTGTGTTGTATTCGGTTCCTCATGAGTGAAACCATGTTATATCCAATTCCATTATTGTGTATTCGGTTCCTTAGAATATTCACTCACATTTGAGTTGCAAGTTTGGAATATTGACTCACATTTAGCTTTTACCTCCTTTAATTTTTTTTGTCACTTCATATGAAACATACAGACCCTTTCTCCCTTCTTTACTTATCAAAAACTGCTAATTTTAACTTCAATTTTTAAGATTTTTTACACTGAGCCATTACTGTCAAAGCAAGGGAAAAAATTATTGCTGTAATATGTCAACCAGACTTCTCTCCTTCTCTCTAATACCCTTTACCTACCTACATAGTCTTTTTAGTTTGCTAGCTTTTTGGCTAATTTACTTTTCCTGAAATACATATACAAGCAGAAAATGATAATTTCTCCAAAGTTTTGAGTCGCCAAAAGTATAGATGTATAGTTATATTATTCATCATTTTACGTAAATCTATTTTATTTTTTTATTTGATTACGTCATATATTTTATTAATTTATATCTTTTTATTATAAGTATTATAAATTTACAATTTCTTTTAATAATCTTGATTTGAACTCTTAAATGAGCATTGAGTTTCACGAATCAGAATATCACAAGTTTATGACCAGTGGGGGATTTCACGGTTAAACAAATTAAATAATATTTTGTATCATGAATAAGAGATTTTTTTTTCAAATATCAGCATTTTCTTTCTTGCTTGTCTCAGTTTCTACTATTTTTAAAAGAAATGTGGTTAATTCTTTTCATAGGTGATTAAGTAAAAGTGAACTTCATGACTCAGAATATTATATTCACTTTAATAATAAAAAAATCATACTACTTGCTAAGAAATTATATTAAAAATTATTATATTTTAAAAATAATTATTTCACTTAGTTACTATTTTGTTACATTTTAAAAATTATTTTTTTTATAAACATTTTTACAATTATATATAACATTAATAATTATCATTTTATATTACTTTTATAATTAAAGATATTTTTGGTAATCTTAAATTTCTAATAATTAAATAAATTTTTTATATAAACATTAATTTTTATAAACTTTACTTTTAAATTCATTGTGACTCATTTTCAAATTCTATTAAAATAACAATAATTATCTAATTTTTAAAATTTTTCAAATCTATCCACTCACCCTCTACAAATCAATATTTTAAAGTCAATACAATCTAAAACACAATTAAAAAGATTACTTAATATTTGCATGGTGAGAGAACCAAAATTCTAAAATTAAAAAAACAATGAAACAATTACATACATAGATTTCAAAATTGTTTTTACCTCCACTTCATGTTATCTTTTGCTTTATTTTATTTATTTATATATATATATATATATATATATATATATATATATATATATATATTTACAAAGATAAAAAAGAAAGAGAGTGAGAATTTTTTTTAAAGACAAGAGTACAAATGATTTATTTTAGAACTCAACCTAACTACCCTCATTTGATTGTGAGAGAGAAGAAAGTCGGTTAATTAAGAAAATACAAGGAATAGCTGTAAAAGAAAATAATTGCAAACTGTTGCATGTTTTACGAAAAAAAAAGAAATATTAAAGTTCGGAGACCTAAATCTTACACTCGAGGCTTATTCAATTAAGTGGATACAGTCTCACTCTCTCGTCCAAACAGACTAAAAAAATATTCCCTTCTAATAAATAAGAAAACGAATGAGATTAAATTTCAGAAAAACAAAATGCATGATCAAATGCGGGTAGTAATACAATAATTTAATATTGTTATTAAATTTGTAAATAAACAAAAATTGGAACCAAAAATATTATAACAGTTTTCACCTCCATAAATGCGTTTTATTTCAATTTCTATTATTTCATTTTCATTTCTCTGAAGTTAAAAGCTATTACTTTTAATATTTGTAAATTTTCTATTTTTTAATTTCATTTCGTTGAAGTTAAAATTTATTATTTTTAATATTTATAAAATTATGAATTTTTATTTTAGTTTCTACAAAATAAGCTTATTTATTTTCTATACATTCAAATCTAATAATCACTTAAAAAACATATATTTTTAATGTCTGAAATTTTTAAAATAGCATGATTTGTTAATATTATATTACATAATATTAGAAATCACCATAAAAAAAAGGTTATTTTTCGTTTATTATTATAAAAATATCACGTAATACTAAAATAAAATAAATAAAATTTAATTTTAAAAGAACTATAAGAAAAAAAAAACATATTAAAATACTATTGTTTTAGAGAAATTAGAAATATAATGTATGCAAGGTGCGGAAAATCGGAGTTGGAGGTAGTTGGAGGACTCTGCACGGATCTAACCCCTCCTTTTCCAACAACCACCCCAAATCATCGTCCAATAAACAAGTCCATTAGGTCAAAAAGTTAAGTGAACCAAATAATTAAATCTCTAAAACAAACTAGACAAAAAAGAATTAATTGTTTTAAATAGTTATTAGACTAAATCAAAATTTTAAAAGGAAAATTACTCAATAACCTACCATAAATATTAAATCTCTCGTATTTTTATATTTTTGTAACTACATAATTAATAGCTCATAATATATATATAAACCAATTCAATCCTAAAACTTCATAAAAATCCCTAAATGAATTTATAAAATATCAAGCAAAATAAATAAAAATATTTTTACGATTATAATGGAAGTAGGTGTTCTTGTAAATTAATAATTATTACTGTGACATCTCCATCTCTCCACCTATAAAAGAAAACACGCTCTTGTTCCCCGTGGAGCGTCTATTTGAAGGTGTTGTATATTGACATAAGCTGGAGCAGTGCAGTGGCGTAGCATCATCATCACCACTTCCGTACAATGGCTGAGCTAAAATCTTTCGTTGAGGTTCATCCAGATTCTCACTTCCCAATACAGAACCTTCCTTACGGAGTCTTCAAGCCCCAACCCTCTTCGTCTCCTCGCCCCGGCGTCGCCATCGGCGACTACGTCCTCGACCTCTCTGAAATCGCTTCCGCCGGCCTCTTCGACGGTCCTCTCCTCCGAAACTCCGATTCCTTCCTCCAGGTAGCTTTCTCAACTTCAATCTGCCTTTCACTTGTTCCACCGACATGTTTAGATTAAAGTTTAGGAAGTGTTTTTCTTTGAATTTAAATGCAGTTTAATGAATTATGGTATACCGGGTAAAAAAAGAGGAAAAACAGTTGCTTCCATGAACTTTAATCCAAACATGAAGTGATTGCTATGCAAGTTGGGAACCCCTTTCGGATGCATATTTCTGCATTTATATAGTGTAGTTTGGCCATGTGGTATCTCCAACAACACGAAAGAAAAAATTGCTGTTTTAGTAGTAAAGTTGCTTTGGAAGAGTGTACCTTAATTTCAGCCTATGATGTCGTAGTTTATAGACTTGTCACAATCTTTTTGTTTCCCTGTGAAACCAAAAGAACGGGAAAAATGTACCTTAATATTTGGATGAACGTTTTTACTCTCTCTCTCTCTCTCTTACATCTTTTTGTGAAACATGCAACATTGCATTTATTTATATTAATATAAGATTTTACGATATCGTATCGTGGGTATGATTTATGAGAATTGGTTGGGAAATGAGAACCTTTGGTCTAACTGATTATTTGTGGACAGCCCAATCTAAATAAGTTTGTATCCCTTGGAAGGCCGGCCTGGAAGGAAGCTCGTGCCACTCTTCAAAAGCTTTTATCAGGTACATGCAACCCCGCTTTTTCCTGTCTAATTGTTTAAGGGCTTTTTTGACACTTCTTGCTCTTTTGTTTTGAAAACTGTTTCCAAATCAAGGATTTTATAAACTGAAAGGCTAAAAAACAGAAGAAACTGGAGATTTTTTTGTCATTCTCTAGCTCAAGTGGGTTCTATTCAAGTGCTCGAAGGAGAAATTTTTGGAAAACATAAACGTGTTCATGAGACGAACACTTTCAAATGTCTTGAAGGGACAAACAATATTATAGAAAACATTGTTAAAACTGTAAACAAACAAGGCCTAGTTGTTCGCTGTTCTTTGCTTCTTTTTTTCTTTACACTGCACTGCTTATTAATGTGTACATGCATGCTAAAGTTTGTATGAGCTGCAAAGGTTGGTTCTTATGCGAAGTGGGTTGTTTTTTAATGCAGCAACGGAGCCAACCTTGAGGGACAACAAGGAATTGAGGCAGAAGGCACTTGTGCCTTTGGTACTGTTCATTGGCGTTCATGATTTATTTTAAAATGGTTGTTTGAGTTTGTCTTTTCTTTAATACTTGTAGCGTCTGGATTTTCAGAGTAGCGCGGAGTTGCTTCTCCCTGTTGTTGTTGGGGACTATACTGATTTCTTTACATCTCTGCATCACACTAAAAACTGTGGGCTCATATTTCGTGGGCCGCAGACTCCTGTTCTAGATAATTGGTGTGTTGATTTAAAATGATTTACAAATGCACTTAAGTATTTAATCCTGTAAATAAAAAGTTAAACACGTTTCACAGGTACCGACTGCCTATTGCATACCATGGACGGGCATCTTCTGTTGTTATTTCCGGAACAGATATTGTTCGACCAAGGTGATAAGTTTTGACACTAATAGCACATTGTTTAGGAGTTTGCGTGCTTGCTTAAGTAGCTTTTTGAATCTTTTGGTTTTCGCAAGTCTTGGGTTACGAACATGAGAAGAAATATGGCACCAATGTTTATTGCTTAACATGAGAGCCTTTGTAATGCATAGCTATGGCTCTAGCATATACAGTCAACTGTGGAAGGGATATGGTTTCTATTGTCAATCTTCATGTGCCGTGTATTCATGAAAACAGAAATATTTTATGACAGCACTGGGCTTTAGCTCCTTTTGTATATATTATGTATGTATTTAGCTCTGCATTCTATCTGACAATGTCATGCTGCTTTGTGCTTTCCAGAGGTCAAGCTCATCCATCTGGTGGTTCTACACCCTACTTTGGCCCTTCGTTAAAGCTAGACTTTGAGTTGGAAATGGTTAGCTTATTGCTTACACATATTTTTGTGGCTATTTGCCAACTAAAATGCAATTTAAAGTTCTATTTTCAAACTATACAACTCAAGATGAAAACATAGTTCCATTTTCTTCTTTGTATATAGTTTTTCTAAATGGGTTACCATGGTACTGCATTATTTTACGTTTTAGATTAATCTTTTTTTCAGGCTACTATTGTTGGACCTGGAAATGAATTGGGAAAACCAGTGGATATTAACAACGCTGAAGATCACATCTTTGGACTTGTTCTAATGAATGACTGGAGTGGTAGTTTTCCAATTCAATATTTTTGTGTTACCATGCCCTGCCCAATTATTGATGCTTTAATGAACTATATTTGGCAGCTCGAGATATTCAGGCATGGGAATATATTCCTCTTGGTCCTTTTCTTGGAAAGAGTTTTGGTAAGATGTTACAAATAATTACTTAATATCCTTCCTTTATGGTTCTAACTAAAATTATACAGGTACCACAATATCTCCTTGGATTGTGACCCTGGAGGCATTAGAACCTTTTGCTTCCCAAGCCCCTAAACAGGTAACTAGTTTTTTTCTTTTAAGATTGACACTGTAGGAACTTTATAATTTGGTTGTTCATGTCTGATGTTCAAATTGACCATGACATGCTATTTAATCTATCCATTAAATGCAGGATCCTCCTCCACTTCCATATTTGACAGAAAAAGCGTCCAAAAGCTATGATATTTCCCTAGAGGTATTTCAAAGCTCCGATATTATATGCATGCGTGTACTTAGTATTACACCCTCTTGTTCTCTGATTAATTGTATTTCTTCATGGTCCTTGTGTTTTACTGTAGTTGAAGTAGGAACTATTTGTCTTTATGGTTCTTTTTCCAAGACCATACCCGAAAAGAACTTTAGGACAAACCATTCCCAAACTAGCAAAAAAGCTAGCAGCTGTAGTTGGAGAGTCCAAAACCTTATCAACCCCATACTAGAATCCATACTTGCAATGTGGGACTCAAATTTCACCGTGCAGTTGAATCTAACAACATTCAGTTATTTTTTTGGATTATTACGCTAATCATACAATTGTTTTTTGCTTCAAGGCTCACATAAAACCTGCTGGACATGAAGATTCAGGTGTGGTGACACGAACTAATCTAAATCACTTGTGAGGAATTTCTCTTCAACTAATATTGATAATTCAGTTATTTAATTATTTCTCTCTCTCTCTCTCTCTCTCTCTCTCTCTATTTACACACGCACACACCATAGCTAGGAAGGGAATTGCAATAGAACTGTTGATTTAAAAGGTGGTGAATTACATGGAATATGCAGAACTTTACGTATGTTTAGTGATATATCTCCTTGGTACACTGCACAAATAAACTCGCACATCTTCTCATTTCGTCTGATAGTTGCTTGCCTCTTGCTTATTAGAAAAAGTTATACTTTTTGAAACTGTTATACACAATACATATTCACATATTGTATCGCTTTGTAGATATTGGACATTGACCCAGCAACTTGCTCACCATACAATCAATGGTTGCAACCTTAGGCCAGGCGATCTCCTTGGAACTGGGACAGTTAGTGGTCCTGTAAGATTCTATACTTCACACAGTTTAACTTTTTTGTTCCAGTTTTTTCTTTCTCTTTGAGAGAATTGTTCCTTTTCAACTGATCAACTAATTCAGTTAAAATATATGCTTTTCACTGTAGGAGCCGGAGTCCCGTGGATGCTTGTTAGAGTTAACCTGGAATGGACAAAATGCAGTGTCTGTAAATGGGTTAAACCGGAAATTTCTTGAAGATGGAGATGAAGTCATCATAACCGGATATTGCAAGGTTACAATCAATCATGATTTTGAGCACCTGTTTTGCGGAATGCTATTATCTTTTCAATTTTTAATGACAAAATTTCTTAGTCTTCAATTCCTTAACTGTTCAAATTAGATACAAACAAGGTTTAATACAGTTGGTTGATAGTTTGAATTCTTTAAGCATGGTAACAGTGGCTCAATTCCCTGACTTTGTGTGTGGAGAAGACTTTGTGAGGTAAAAGGCACTTTAGTGATCTCTGCACTTGGGGGACAAGTCTCATGACTTCTGGCTGTGGAAATACCTTAGGCAAAAAACAAAAATAATTTCCAACCTAGGACTATGCTGGTTTTGTTAGTTTCTGTCAGTATTTGTTAGTTGTTAATATTAGTGAGGGTATTATTTAGTTGGTTGTTGATATCTGTTAGTGTTTTGGGTGGGGATAGAGAAAAGAATCAGGGCAGATTGCATATAAATTTGAGGGTAGGTTCAGATATAGGTCATCTTGTCATTTATAGGAAGAATTGAGACCTTTAGGCATTGGGAGGTGCAGTCCCTTGAAGAAGTTCTACAGTGCTGTAGTTAGGCAAGACTTTCCTTTCACCAGATTTTTATGAACTGGTATGTTAGAGTTGTGGGTATCCAATCTTGATGTTTCCAGAATTAGGTGGAGAGCTGGCGTATTGTACATGATGGTCAATCCAGGTTGAGCAATATTTTGAAGCCATCGAACCTGTTCCCGAATAAGCTAGTAAGATTTTGTCCCAGGAGAAGTTATTCGCCTGGAAATCTGAGAACTGACGCTTTAATTGGTTGCTAACTAGGAAATGACGCCCACCCAAATGCTGCATGGTGAACCTTTTTGAAGGCTCTGCTCAAACGATTAGAAGGAGTATGATTTTGATCAACTATTTTTGGTACGGAAAGAGGAACCAGAACTATGGGAGCCAGAAATAGACATGAAGATGAAGATACTGTGGGAAAAAAAGATGAATCACGGGGTAGAAGAAGTAAACCTTCGTACCAGAACCAGAAAAAACTTCAGAGATGAACTAGAATCAAGTTGACGGAGAAAGAAGAAATAGTGATGAAGCAAAAGAACATCCACTTTGGGCTAAGCCCTTACAGATTAGCTTTTGGTACCGCTCCAAAAGGCCTCTTACAAAGGGATGTATCTTATGTGTATATAAATCCATGTGTATTTCATATTTTATCCGATGTGGGACTTTGTTTGTACCCAACAGACAAAATATGGGTTGTGACAACAGTTGTTTGGTTGCAAGATGGAGAAGCAAATAGAATTTATCCTGGTAAGAAAATGGATGTGAGAATTGAGAAAAAACCATCCCTGTGGAACAATGGTGGAGCAGATAGGGGAAGAACACAAAACTGAGATGGTTTAGGTAAGCAAGATCGTCAAGCCACCACCAGTACTGCTGAAACCACCCAACGCAATTTCTCCCAAAGAGTCAGATGGGCCATTAGTTGTGATTTAGTTTTGTATCCCAAGCATGTCAGATGGGCCATTAGTTGTGATTTAGTTTTGTATCCCAAGCATTACAGACCATTAAGCTGTAACGGATTAGTAGAATTACAGAGATTTCAAGGTAAAGAAATGCCCTACGAAACAGGGCATTAGAGAAAAATGTAGGCATTCCCCTGTTTTATTGCAATAAGCTGGAACCTTGGTGAGCCTCTTCTAGGAATAGCGATACTAATAGTAATATCTGTTGGTTGGGATATTATCTAGTGAGAGTTAGTTGTTTATGCCAGATTGTATCTTAAAACCAATTGTTATAAGCAAAGTTGTACTCCAAGACTTGAGAAAGACTATGTGGGACTTCCTAATACTCTCCCAATTAGCTGTACTTCAATACTTGAGACATTGAGACAGACAACGTGAGACTTTCTAACACTTCCCTCCACATCTGTCTGCCAAATCAGCCGTGCTCTGATATCATGTCAATATCTGTTACTTTATTGATCTGAGATAGAAAATACTTAAGGCAGATTACCTGTATATAAACTTGATGAGGAGGGAGGGAAGTGAGAGAGAGGGATGGAGGGAGAGGTGGAGCACACACACACACAGTTTTTCAGTGCTACAGTTGGGGAAGAATTGCCCTAATTTATTAATAAGATGTCTGGTGGAACAATAAGGAAAAGTTACAAGAAAATCCCTGCAAATTTACATGAGCAAATATTTGATAACTTGCGCTGCTAGACCTGAATTACCGCAGCATTGCTGTGAATTTAATTAGTTGTTTGGCATATATTTGAAATTTTTAGTCTACGAAAGCAAAAGAGAGTCCTATATTGCCTAGATCATACACTCTTAAGAATTTTACACGTTAAGACACTCCTTACACATAAGTGGGTAGCAAAGAGGTGCTCTTAAGTGGATAAATTTTTTGGTCTCATTTGGAAATGCATATTCTGGTTTGCACAATCTTGAATAGTTGTAATTTCTTTTACAACTTGGAATGAAAATGACAGGCGTGGAAACTTTTAAAAAATGCTCTATCCAATTCAAAGCTACATAATTGCTTCTACTGGAATCAAATTTGGCTCTTTTTCTCATTTGCAGTATTTCCCGAACATTTTTGTAAATATGTTGAAAATTGCTTCAATTCTTGTTTGAGCTTTCCAAATGGGTGGTTGGGTGTTGCAAATGCAGCCCCCAAAAAAATAGACATATTAGGATTGCAAGTCAGAAATATGGATACATGAAAAAGTGAATCGGGCTCTACAGGGATGAACGATTGTTTTTGAGGTCAAAATCCTGTGGAGTGTAGGGGATTTTTTTTTTTTAATTGCTGACGGAGGGAGTGCAGCATACCTCTAAATTAGACTGCTGAGATTGTTTAAAACAGTGTGCCGTACTTATTTTGTTTATGACTGAGTAATGTTAGTCACTTTTATGATTTATCAAAATGAAAGTTTTATATTCATGAAGCAGTTCTTGATCATTTTTATTTTAAGCATTTATAGTAAGATAGCATATTTATTAGCAGTAAAACTTGAATGTTTATGTGAAGATCTAAAATTCTTTGTGCAGGGAAGTGATTACACTATTGGGTTTGGTAACTGCTCAGGCAAGATTGTTCCCGCAGCTCCCTGAGGGAATTATCATTCCACAACAGTCTAATCTTTTCAAGTTGTGGAAGTTGTTGTATAATCAATCTGCAACAGGGTTGCTTTCTACCGATGTTATTTTTCCTATGTTTGTAATGTACTCGGCACATTATGAGAGTATGTTTGCCTGAATCTTTTTTATATGCGGACAACTTTACACCTCATATTTGCACACATTGACTAAAAATGAACAATGAGAATAAATTGTGGGAAATGAGAATGGGCAATAATGTCAGTTTTGTTAGAGAAATTAAGAAATGTAATAATTTTGTTTTAATTAAATTAAAAGTATTTACAACTTTTTTTTTTCGTTTTTCATTTTTTAAATTAGAGATTAAGTGAAGAGGAAGGGTGCGCAAGATAAATAATAATTAATAATGTTTTGCTATTGAAAATTACAGTTAAATAGGGAAAAAATTAACATTGATTTGAAATCTGAAAATATAGTCAATTAGAAATTTAAAAAAAAATGATAAAAATGCGACAAATATAATAATGGAATAACTGATTATTATGATTTGTTGCCTATTCCACCAGTATTTATTATTTTAAAAATTATAATGAATTGCTTTTGAAGTTTTCAGTATTTCTTTTAAGAATAAGATGATGGCATGTGATCAATACTATGTAAAGATCTTCATCAATTGCTATATTTTGATATTTTAATCTTCAATTTTTCACAAGTCAATAACTTCTCATATATCCTCTTGTCCTAATTGTGAGTTGTATATATAAAAGATACATTAAGTTAATCAAGTGCATTAAACTATAGTAAATGTTATAATAATAATGAATATAATTAATGTATATTATAAAATATGTTATTTATATTACTATTTATATATTTTTATGTAGATGGATCTGAATCATAAGACTTAATTACTTGTTAATCTTATTTTAACTATTTACTCCTAATTTAATCATAATTTAAAATATTAATTGTCTAACTAGTGTAATTCCTTCCTAAGTAGGACCGAATATATGTTGATCTAAATGACTGAGATGCTATCAAACAGATATAGTACAAATTCTCAAATCCTGGGATGAGCGAGCTATTGGTTAGACGTGTATGGTAAAAAATGCAAATAATCAATATTTTCTATTTAATGATAAAATTTAAGTATAGCCTTCAGTGAATCTTATTTACTCAGAAAATGATGATACAAAGGAATGCAGGAAGACTAATGACAGGGTTTAAATTTAAACCAGAATGAAAAGAAAGAGGAGAAGATGGGAGAAAAGGAGGTGGGGTCATGCATTAACAAAAGGTTATCATACATTTCATTTAACACAAAAGGTAAGCGCCAACACCAGTGAACTTCATTTAATTTTTCCTTATTTTCCATTCTTTTTCTTGCTCACTGCCCAATGCACTACTCTGAAATCCCTCTTTTCCCATGAAACCCTCTTCCAAATCAGGTTCCTTCTCCTCCTACTCAACTTCCACCACGCTCACCTACACCTACCACTATGACCACACTCCACCCCCACGCGCCAATTCCACTCCTCAACCATCCCCCTCCCCCTCCGCCGCCGCAGCCACCATCCAATCTGCCTACCGCGCCCACCGCATTCGGGCCCTCTACCGGAAAATAGCTGCGGTCGACTCCGAAGCCGACCGGCTGCAGCGCCTGATCCAGCGACAGGACACGGTGGACGCCGTGCGCACCGACCATCTGGAGAAGCTCAGAATGAACGAGGCGCTCATGGCCCTGCTGCTGAAGCTGGACTCTGTGCCCGGCATTGATCCGACGGTCAGGGATGCGCGAAGGAAAGTCACCCATCGGATCGTGGGCCTCCAGGAGATACTGGACTCTGTATCGGAGAGCCAGATTGATGAGTCCGGCTGGTGGTCCATGAAGAATTGGGACGAAGTATTGGCCGACATGGAAGAAAGTATTTGTCGCGAAAGAGGCGGTGATGAAATGGAACGGTTTTGCGCTCAAAATCTCGGCTTTCGCTGCCTACAGAGGTTTCTTCGTGAACCTTGATTCGCACCTTTCGTAATCTATGCATGCTCACATACGCATTCTCTTATGTATTGTGATTGTATAATATAATTGTAATTTTTTTTATAGCATAATGTAACATAATTTCCATGTTTACCCAATACCTACCTCAAAAACTTTGTACTTTTGGTGGCTATAGAATATAGGAAATACAGGGGCTGAAATTAATATGGTCTGAAGGAATTAATATAATGCCAAGTTGCTTTGGTGTAAATGGTAACAATCTGTTTCATATCTCATGAGAAATCAAATTCTATTGCTGATGTGAGACCTCTTGTAAATATCTTTACATGCACTCACCGGGTTGTAATTATTTGTTGATTCCAGTGAGTTTAGACTCAATTTACATGAACTCTTTCTGAATTGAGAAAACAAAACGAACTATGATAATTAAACTTGTGTCTGCGAATTCTTGTGACGGAGTTACCAAAGAATATTGGTAGATGGAATCCAAATGTAGCTTTTGAGGTAAAATTATTTTTGGATGTTAGGAACTTATCTCCAAACATACACTAAATTAGTTGAATTCCACAATCGTGAGGATCATATAAATAGATAATAATATTTGTAGAAGAACAGTAAAGTTTGTTATTATAGTGAACTCTAATGAGAACCAAGACCCTATTTTCTCCAGACTTTTTAAGGAAATTAAAGAAGTTGGGTTTCAACTTACTAGAATGAACTGATGATGACAAATTCAGAACAAGTGCAGGATACATGGATTATTAGACTAACTTACACAATAAAAAACACAGTTAAGGAGCCAAAACCAGTAACTGAGATGACTGATAATGTGATAATTTGAGTGGGGAAGGTGTGCTAGTTGGCACAGCTGCACTTGCACTTGGACATGCATCTCTTGCAATCTGAGAGTGTTGGGTAAGCGGTGTTGATGTTGCATTTGGTGATGCAATTGGGCCTTGAAGTGCCATCCCACAAGCAGCGAGCCATGCAGTGTAGGATTGGCGTGCAGGATGGACAGGCGTTTTTCATCTGGTTTACAAGGCAGTCTTTGCAACTCTTTCCATCTGTGGGTGGGCAACTCATGATAGGTGAAGCCACCATCGCCATGATCAGCAACAGCACTTGGACCTGGACTGTTACTCTGAGCTTCTTCGTCTCCATGTGAACCTAAACCAGATGTTTTTACAGTCACAAGATGTGTTATATGGAAGCTAGCTATGCCAATTCCACCTTATATAAAAACTGGACAGACGTAGGTGGGAAAAGCAGAATTCTAAGATCCGCGGAAGGCCTCGGTAGTGTGGAAGCATTAAATTGCATGGCTGACTTTGCAATTAAACACCGCATTTACTCATAGGAATCTGGCAGCTCATGGTTCTCTCGGTTTGCACAATCATCCTTCTCATCACTATACTCTGTTTAAGTGAACACGGGGAATAAATATTTGAGTATGCTATTCATTTTCTTATGCATGTTTAAGAACTGTTTATGTATGGAAATATTTCCTGTAAAAAAACAATACAGCAAATGAGTCAGAAATAATAATCATGTCAATACAAGAAAAATAGGAAAAGAGCAAAATTCCACTTATATTTTTTTAATTGAGATCTTACATTGACGAGAGAGATAATAATATGATAAATTTATAATATATAAATAAATTAATGGTTAAATATACTTTTGGTTTATTAACTTTAAGTAAAAATTGAAATGAATCAATCTTCAAAAATTTTAGTCTAATTAAATTTATTTGACATTTTAAAAATATATTTCAATTAACACTGAAACATAAATGTGTAAGTTCTTAATTCAACTAACATTGAAGTATACATGTGTTAAATTGTGTAGATAATTCAAATATAATCATTGAAGTATACATGTGTTAAATTGTGTAGATAATTCAAATATAATCATAAAACATATTTGAAACATTAAATAAACTCAACAAAATTTAGTTAAATAGACTAAATTCATATAATTTTAAATATAAAAAACTAAATTGGTTTAAAGTTTTAAAAAAACATTAATTACAATTTTCATTAAAAGGATAAAAAACAAAATTAATCCTAAACTAATTAATAGAGTTAAGTTAAACTTAAATTATTCATTTTTATATTTCTTACAATGACATTTGCACTTCTAAATGTATTTTTTTATTAAAGTGCGAGTTCCTTTTAGTTTATATAGACATTTAAGAATTTTAATAAATGGAATTAATTTATTTTTTATAAAATAATACTATTTTTCCTTTTTTAAGTAACATTACAAAAAATAAAAAATAAAACGTTTAAAATAAAAAACTTTTAACTAAAAGTTGAATGATGTAATAATTGAATTCAATATTTCTTAATGTTTCCTTGAATAATATTCATCTATTACGATGACTATTACGAGGAATAGGTGTTCAATATTAATTTAACATCGATATTAAAATAATTGTATATGATTTTAGTCTTTAAATTTTAATCTGAAATTGAAATTAGTTTATAAAATAAAAAAATATAATTATTTTAATTTAATTATATTAAATTTTGTTGTGTCGAATGTATTTTAATATATTTAAAAAATTATATTTGAATTGATTAGACTATTTTAACATGTTACCGCTTAAATAATTTTTTTAATATGTTAAACGTATTGTAGTTTATATATATAATTTAACCAACCTTAAAAAATTAACGTCATTATGTTAAAATATTATATCTATTTTGTTTTAAATATTAAAGACTAAAATATATTAAAATTTAAAATAAAAACAAGTTATAATCTCGTGCTCAAATTTAAAAAATAAAAATATATTTAAGATAAGTTTTTTTAAATGTTAACTTTTGAAGGTGATGTTGTTCTTCACCAGTATTAAAATATATTCTTTTAGTCACACTACTTTCATGATTGAATTTCAACAACACAGTCTAAACCATTTTTTATCAACTAGTTGCAAATGTAGATATTAAGAATTTTGTAGAAAAACAACATACAAAAGAAAAATAATAATAATGGAGGAATGTTTGTCATTTTATCTATTTTTTATTTTAAAAGTTAAAAAATCATAAAAATAAAAAAACTCATTAAATTATTTTTCTAAAGTTACTAACAACGGGGTGAAAGGATTGAAATGCTATAATATGGATGTCGAAAATTTTTGTTAGATATTTGTGTTATAATAATACCTTGATATTTCTTATAAATCCACAAATGGCTTTTTGTTTTCATTTTTTATGGTTAAAGAAACGAGTGAAATTTTTTGAATCTAATAGATATTTTGAGGAAATTCATTAAAATGTCATTCATTGTAGAGATAATAAGATATGAAAATATTTTTAATCCAAAATCTTAACTTTTATATATTGAAATAAATATACAAATGTCTTCTTTATATATTATTAAACTTATTCATTTTTACGGTTTATGTTTACAATTTAATTTTTAATATACTACTCATCCATCTTACACGGAAAAAAAAAGCACAAATAAAAAATGAATTATATTTTTTTAATTACTTGTGGATTTTTTTTTTCAAACTTTTTCACAAAAAGGGAGATCTCTACCACAAATACTACGTTAACTTCTTAGAAACCTCCAAGTTTTACTAATATTAACCTTATAACAAATAATATTCACAATCACTTCTAACAAAATACTCAAATATTCCTTTTACTAATTTTCCAAAGTATAGCACTAGCCTTCTCACACTTTTACACCCTCCTAGTTTAAATGAAAAGGACAATACAAACAAAGATGATTGACTAAGCTATTTTTTCTCAAGAAATCACTTAAAAGAGAGAATAATATAATACTATATTTAATCAATGCCTTATTTTTGGCTTCGCATTACCAATTGAAGTGTATCTAGAATATAAGGTTTTACTCAATATTTTTATACTTAGAACACACTTTTCTATGTTCTTTAATAACATATAGCAATTAACTTTTTTTATCATAAATATGAAAAACACATCAAAATAGTATTAAATATACTAGAAAAATATATATTAAACTATTGATAAAGTAGTAACGATCTTTTAATTTCACAAACTATTGAAAAAAATGATAGTTAGTTTTTCACAAACTATTGATAAAGTGTTTACAGGTCATCATTTTGAATGAAAATAAGTGATCAAACTCGTTAAATATGTGTTTCTTTCTTGCATATGACTGTGATTTTCTTATTTATTTTTGTCATTTTTCTACTAATTTTTAAATTAATTTTCTCATATATAGTAAATACTCATAAAAAGATTTATGCAAGTATATAGAATTTTCGATGACTCATCTTATTAGAGACTAAGATACTTATTCAAACAAAAAATTATAATTTTGACAGTTATTGTATCGCATTGTTTTCCACAAACAAAAATAAATAAATAGTGTAAACAATTTTAATTTTGGAAAATCGCCAAGCATTTGATGTATTAGGTGGTCTAATTGCACGTGGTCGTGTACGCTGAGCATATGTGTAGACAGACACCTACCTATGAGTTGAATGAAGAGGGAATTTTAGTCAACCTATTTGGGCATTCCATTCAACAGTAATGTCTCTTTTAACTTATAAAAGAGAGGAAGAGCGTAGGAATTGAAATTGTAAAATTTCCAAACATGTGAAAACAAGCAACTGTATAAAACCAACAGAACAGCACAGCCGTTTTTTTCTAAAATTAAAATTAATAGCAGGGGCTTACGTAACCATGCGAGAATCTAGAAACAATGGGAGAGATTTTTGTCTTTTGATACAGGTAAACTTGGACTATAAACACGGGGATGATGCAAAATATTCCAATTTGGACATTGATATGCACCGCACGAATGAGCTTTGTTTATTTAATTTATTTATATGTCAAGTTTCCAAACAGTATAATTGGTTTCATGTGTTGGTGGTGACGTTAGCGAAACGGTAGAGTCTAGAAACACTGTACACATCCTTCACAAACTGGGTCAACGCGGTCAACTCTCTGGTTGCTTTCTCGTAAACATGACACCGCACCAGCGCGGGTAGAAACAGCAGAATGGCTGTGTAAAGCACAAACAGCAACGACAGCAGCCCGGACAGCAACGACACCACCCTCGGGAACTGCCACTTCTTCCCTTTGAGGCCCTTTTTCAGTGCAACCTCCGCAGCCACGCACAGTCCATGAACGAGAAAGAAGCACGTGGCGTCCCACGAGGGCTCCCAGGCCTCCCACGTGCGCGTCTCGCGCTTGATGTAGTAAAAGACCAGCTCGTGCATGAGACCGGACACGGCGAAAGTAGCGACAATGGCCGGGAGTGGGGCCCACCTTCTGCCAGTGAGAGGGCTGGCGAGAGTGACGAGGGGATCGTATACGGTAGGTTGCAGGACACGGTTGACCATGATGTTCCAGCGGTTTCCCCAGAAGTCTTGCAGCGAAGTGCAGAGGTAGGGCTTGTCGAACTGCGGTTCCAGGTGAACGCCGAGGAGTTTCCGAGTGGTGGTGGAGATGGTGCCGAAAATGAACTCCAAGCCGATGTACATGTGGAGGCCGTACAAGAAGAGAATGAACTTGGGATGAAGATACTCTTTGTTGGCGTAGAGCGGAATCAGGAGGGCGAATAGGAGGAGCATGGATGATGAAGCGTAGTTGAAGGGCAGTTTGGGGATTTGGGTTTTTGAAGGGGTGGTGGTCTGTTGGAATTTGATGGGGAGGCATGCGATGGAGACGAAGTGACGGAGAGAGAGGGGAGGGTTGGAGGACAAGGGGCCCTTGCCAAAGGCAAAAAGAAGGAGCTTGAAGGTGGAAAGCCAACCTAGGAAGAAAGCAGATGGTCCTCCAAAGTGAATGGAGATGAGTCTGAGAGGGAGCAGAAGAAGAAGCAGTATGGCAGGGATAATGGCTATAAGTCTTGATGCACCTTCGGGGATAAGCCTTCCAATTCTGTGGCAGTAACACATTGTTGCTGCGGCTATGCTCCATACCATCATCAAATTGTTAAGCTCTCCCTCCATCTCTGTTCCTCAATCCCTCCTCCACACACACACACACACAAACACCAGACAGCTCACCCTTTCACTGACACCATTTTAACCAAGAACAACGTTGTATGAGTTTCGGCTTTTATAACCTGGTTGGTTAGTCCAGCCATCGATTTTGAAATCTTTCGTTTTTTGTTTTTGGAATTAATATTTTAAAATTAAAATTAATATTATTGTATTTTGAAATATGTAGTGTGGAGAATTTTTAAATGTTACGTTGAATCTAACCCATGTGTGGCTGGCTAAAGACTATTGGGAAAGAAGCAAAAGAGCGTGAATGGTGACAAAGAGCGTGAATGGGTAGTAAATGCGAAAGTAAGTAAGTGTTAAATAAATGTAAATATGTGTGTTCTTATCATTATTAATTTGGAAACAATATATCTACCTCTAAAATAAATATATATTTCGCAATAAAATAAAATATAGCAAAAATGAGGAATTAAATAAGTGGAAAAGTTAGATCTCGCGTATCACGTGGAGGATGAATATTCTATTAGCATGCTTCCCTTCATCACCGTCGTCTTATTCTCTTATCTTCCCTTTGGTGGATGGCAAATACGATAGAGTATATATATAAATATGTGAAAAGTGAAAATAAAAATAAAAATGAGTGTGTTTAATAAAAAGGCAATCACAAAAGGAAAAGATAGACAGAAAAGCTATTCAATTAACTATTCTTATTTATTTATTTAATCTATTTATCTCTCTTCTTATTCTTTCTTCACATTTTATTAAAATAACACTTTACTTTTACTTTAATTCATACTTATTTTAATTTTTTTTTATTTTCGACTTGTTTCTTTCTTTCCCACCGACTTAGTCCTATGAAAAAGTTACATTATTTATTCTCGTTTATTACACGAGTAGATCGTTGTCTAACCTCGACCACACGTTTTGACCAACTTTTTCATAATCTTCTTGAATTAAAAACTTATTGGTGAAATAAATTACTTTATTCATAAATTAAAAATAAAAACTTAAAAAAATTAATTATTATTTTAAAAAAATATCTCAACTCTAGGTAATGAATTTTATTTGTATAATAAAATTAAAACTCAAATTGAATAAAAGAAAGAAATGGAATTTCTTAAGTGTGTGAAATGTTCATTGTTTTTTAATTTGGCTCCAATCCAAGCCAATTTCATCAAATTAATTGAGTTTTCCTAAAGACTCCATATTTTGTGTTATTAATTTGTACCCTATTACTATCAAACTGATGTATTTTTATCAATTAAAATGTTATTCTGAGATTATTTGATTGTTTTTAATGATATTCAATATGATAATCTATTTTCTATCCATAAATTCTTAATGAGCTGCTGAGTAACGATGGCATTATCTTTAATTGTCTCAAAGAGTTAATTGTTAAGCTAGTGGTAGTGAAATTGAAGAAACAATATAATATTCAACTCCCAAATGACCAATTATAAAAAATGGTATTAATAAAATTAAAACAATGAAATAAAAGTAAAAGAGTTAATCTCATCATAAAAATAAATTATTTAACATCAAGTCATCCAGAAATATCAACTAGTGGAAACTAAAATGAATGTTAATGTTATAAAATCATTACAAATAAATAAAAATCATAAAAGAAAATAACTAAATCGTAAAAAGATCTAAAATAATCAAATTCAAGGAATAATTATGAGATCAATCTTTTCTCATCTATACTTTTCAAAATACTTAATTAATTTTTATAATTTCTTTCTATCTCATTTGATGTTAAATGGGTTTTAAATTGTTTATATTTTAATTTTTTAACTCAGGTCAAATTGAATGTCTTTCCTACGAACTTTCAATTAAAAAATTAAGAAACAAATGTCATATTTATATTTAATTTTTGAATACATGAACAAAGAGATATAAATATTTCAAAAAAAAAAAGTAATAAACACATATAACTGAAAATTTAAAACGAATAGAGATAATACGAATTTAAAACATTACATATTTCATTTTACAATTTAATTTTATAAAATCAAATTAAGTTTAAAATTTACCTTTTAAAATAATATAAAAATTTATAATAATGATATTGTTATTTATTGAGTTTATCATTCTTATACAAAAATAGTGTTTATAAATACCACATTTATCTCCAAAGTATGATTTTCTTCTCTAAAATTTAAATTCTTTAATGAAGTTTCTTTTACAAATAACCATCACGAATGCTTCAGCTCAATCTTAGGTGTTAAGCAAATTTACATCGTACAAATTTAACTTAAGTATTTTAATTTGTCCCTTTTTAAACAATTTTTCTTTTAAAATATCTTTAACCTATATATATATATATATATATATATATATATATATATAAACAACTTTTTGTTTAAATTTTTATTTAAATAATTACTAAAATTGTAAATAATACTATTCTACTAATTATACAATAAACTTTCAAGAATATTTGAAAATACTTATTCATTAAAAAAAAATCAACCTTTTGACAATATTAACTTAGTTTACGTTTATGTTGATTTAGACAGTTTTTTTCTCAAGACATTTTTTCTTTAAAATATTTTTTTCAGCCTACAGATAAATAAATTTATGTGGAGAAACTATTTCTTCTTTTTCTAATAAAAGTATTTATGAAATTATCTAAAAATAATTACAAGTAATGTTTAAGTATCTTCAAAAGTCTCACATTACATGCTATATATTTAGATTTATGTCAAAATCAATTTATTATAAGACTTAATTTTCACCAACAAAAGGATAGTGTGGTTGTGTGCACATAATGTACACGGAGACTATAAAATCAAAATGTTACCCTAACAAAGAAAAATAAATTCCATATTAAAAATGAGATTCGCTAATCACTATCTTTTAAATGAGCTTTAGACTAATCCCAACTTACAAGCTTCTAAAAACCATTAAAAGATAAACAGAAACATTACATAAAAAATGTCAACAGCTTATGGAAAGAGATAAATGCAAGCATCTGAAACAAGACAACAGCAAAGTATTTTTCACAAGGTTAAAAAAAAGTTAAAAATGATAAAAAAAATTATTTATTTGAAAAATGCATAATAAACTCCCATATCACATAGAATAGTCTGTGATTTATTATTCTTAAAGAAGCATATGATAAGAATATTTACTTTTGAAATAGTTGATCCCTGGACAGTTCCCACAAGTTGAGAGTGGATATCAAATTAGAATTCAAAACCATATGTATGTATTTATTACTTACATTGCAACCCTGGGAAGAAACAAGGAGCATAGTTACTTACTAATTTTATTGACAAAACTATCTATCAAATGAATACCAATTTCATCTCCCAAATCCTCTCATCATTGTTCAAATTACCAGCCTCAGACAGGATTAGAAATAATTAACTGTTAATAAGAAGCAGGTAACACCGAAAGAGATTTCAGCACAAATAACAATGATTTAGGATTCAACATGTCACTCAAGGACAACTCCTTTGACTCCTACTGCCAATCCTTTCGGATATCAAAAGTGTAGTTAATCTCTAAGTAGCACTTGTTGTCATCATCAACAAACTGAAAAAACCATAAACATAGTATGAAATCAATTAGTTCACATTATTAGACTTCATCACAACACAAGTTTCTGCAAGAATTAAATGAGCGGCTCTCAAATTTGAAATTAAGTGAGTGGTTGAAAGTAAGCACATGAAGTCTGGCATCAAATTTATTAGAACATTAATTGGTAGGCTGATATATCAAAACTAAGCATTAATTCAGCTACCCTTTATGTCCAAAACAATGTCATAATAGCAATAAAGAAGAAGTAAGACTGTATCTCACTTACTCTTCTTTTTAACCCATATACAGTAAAGCAGTAACTTCTAGCGAAAACTGTGAAAGTAGCTTGACCATTCGGGGTAAAGTAGCTTGAAAAATGCATGGGAATAGTAAATGCACAAAAGCTACCGGTGATTTTAATTTTGCCTTGGGTCATTGTAAAATGAGGATTGTTAATCATACTCATTAGCAGACACTTAAAATCGATTAACCACTATAAAAACAAGCCAAGGACTTGCTAAATAAGAGATAACAGTAGTAGAAAATATATGAAAAGGGTGTCAGAAAATGTCAAGGAAGCACATAATGATACATTAACATTACCTTACTTCTTGCTGTGTATGCTCCTCTAGCAAACATCCCAGATGGTGTTGTCTCTTCGGGCATCTCATGTGTGTAAGGCTCTGCTTGAGGGCTGAAGGTTCCAATCATTTCTTTTGTGCTGTCAACTGCACAAGGCTTTAACAATGAGACGAGCTTAAGGACAAAATTTGACTGGGAGTTAGTCTTGCATAATACTTACCTTTCATACCAGTTTTCCACACGGTGTTGGTGTATTTGAGACCTGAAACGATGTTATTCTCGACCAGGAAAGTGAACATCAGGCTGTAACGACTACCCTCTTTCAAAGTAAACCACATACCCTTGGGATTTCCTCCTTCTGGTATTGCAAGAACAATGTCAGGTCTATCAGCAGCCTTGATTGCAAGGCTAAGGATCTTCACACTTGGCTCCAGAGTTTCTGAATTATTCACAGTACATATGACAAGTTAAGCGTTGAAAAGCTCCACCCACCGGGAAATGAGTTCACGAGGACACATAACAAGGTAGGGAAGAATTGAACCATATACCGATTCAATTGTTTGTTGGATTTCATAAAATGAAATCATGTTTCAAATTTTATCACTTATATGTATGCATAAAACCCATTAAAATAACACATTTGCATTACCAAATAATTACAGAGCAATGATACACATTCTCCTTTTTAAAATCATCAACTATCAAAGTTAACAACTGAAACGAAGAAATCAGATCCAAAGAGGACACGGATTTTTTTTATTGCTTTTTCTTCTCTAAAATTGAGAAGAATGACACATTTCTTGGGTTTTACTACTACCATTCAATATGTGGACGAACAGAGAAAAAATTGAAAAAATGAAAGCCAATTCTACACCAATTACCTCCAACAGAATTTATGTCCACACTTCCAAGAAGCTGTTCCTTCCACCTCCTCAAGCTCTCGTCATCCTATACCATCTCAAACGGAAAGCAACACACACACAAATGAGACAGTGG